TGTTTGCAATAGCTGATGAACTATTCTCTAGATTTCTTATCTTATTCGGTCGGGTCAACTAATCTAGATGTTATTGCTAGGTTTTTGTGCTTCTTGGCTAGTCTGACTGACTCACTGACTGCCCTTGTTATACTACTTTGACCCATCTATGTATTTGACCTGACAGTCATCTCAGGCAGGGTATTACATAAACTAAACTAAATTGATTTGTTTAATGCGGTGTTCCACAGAATTGATCCTTTAACCGACAAAGCTTGTTTCTAATTGAGTTTGTGGATTCGAATGCCAGAAGCTTTGTTTATTGAATCAACTGCAAATACGTGCCTGCAATAGGAATGATTCAACACCTGTCCACCCCAATATCTGGAAACTTCTACTACCCCAATGATGAGAAATAGGAGAGAACAAAGAACACCTTAAAACTCAAGTTCCTAAGTCGTGTGATGATAATTGGTGATGTGTATGATTGTGAGTAACAATAATGAATTGTGTGTGTTCGTAGTAATACTAATACTGTTTCACTCATTGACTGTGTGATATATCCATCTAATAAACAAACTAAAATGGAATCACTTATTACCACAATGCGCAAGTTTTACACATACATATTCACGGGTAATAGTTTTGCTCGAAATTTTAACACACTAAACACTGATCAACTATGTGTAAGCAATCATTACAAATGCATTTATCATATTATAATCCCAGTGGTAGAGATTGAAGCGTGTTTTCTTTTATTATCTATAAACTCATAGCTTACTTTAGTGATTTTTATAAAAATCGAATCTCGAAGTCGTGTGACAAAAATTTGATATGATTATGAACAATAAATTGTGTTCGAAACGTCATCCAGTATACAATACTGTTTCACTGTGTGAAACATCTAATAAACAAACTAATATGGAATTGCTTTAGTGATAGTGCTAAACACTTTGTTCCACGAGCTTAACCAAAAGAATAGCCATTGAGTCATGAAGAAAATAAAAGACAAATTCAGCGAAGAAAATTTGCTTTATCGACGAAATCATCTTCAGAGACTGTACAGCCGTGTGGAGCTAGTTATACTGGCCGCCCACACAACTTGATGAACACTTTCCAAACGCATCTGTGAACGTTATCCGGCATAGTTAGCAAAGGGACAGTAACACAAGACAATTACTACCTCAATTCTCGAGCATTTGGTGAACTGAGGCCACATAGCTCCACCGGAGTCGTCTTGCAAGATCATCTACAAGGTGAAGCCAAATGGTACAAAGGACGTTAGGTTTCGGCTTTTGCATATGGCGGAGATGCTGGCAATTCAACGTCAATACGACCACGAACTCTGTATACAGAAAAAAAGGTTTGTCCAGTCTCTTATTCCACCTTGGTCTTAACCTCTCTCAGAAGTCATTCCCTGTAAAAAGAAAAATTTTGGTTTTTCTTTCCTTTCTAATTTTTAGTTTTACTTTTAGTTTGCTTTTGCTTTAATAACTGATTCACTGTTATATCACTGTCATATGCTTCCTGTTGTACATTTTCATACCCTCTCGCGACACACTTGTTAACTTGACACTCAACTCTACCACCTTTACTCTCACTCACTCAATAGCAATTTAAACCTTATCAAATTTCTATGTTTGTGCCTTTGAGTACTACGTAATTTACAACTTTTAATATTTTTTTTTACTTCTAAAGCCACTTCTGAGTAATTATATCAGTTATCTCACCTCCCCCCCTATTACTCGATAATAGATCACTATATATATTTGGAGAGTATAAATACAACTGTACAGCCAGCCCGTGAGGATGATTTCGTCAATGAAGAAGCATTGTCTTCGTTGAATTTTTCTTCTATTTTCTCCAAAAGAATACCCCTAAATAATGAATGCGATATAAAAATGTTCCGTAAACTGATAAATCCTATCAGTACTGACTGAAATTTTTGGGTACGTTACAAAGAAGTGTAAGTGAGATAGAGATTGGAATATGATATTAGACAGTTGGAGTCAATGGGCCCACGAAGCCTTGCCCGAACCTAGGTTTCGTGCTAGTTGGCATTCACCGATCAGTCAGCAAGGAGTATCTGCAACCCTGAAGGGACTCATATCCTTTCTGAGGTGATTCTAACCCGGATCACCCAGTGCCGCCTACAGTCAGAGACGTTACCATTGAGCTATTCGGCCTCGCGATCGACCTCCTTAAGGACTGTAGTGAATATTACCATTGGATACTAGTCAGTAACTAGTGTGACGTGTCTAGTAGTCCTTTCTTTGGTGCAGACTGAATTCTATCGGTCTGTCAGTCAGGTTTGCAATGTGGCCACCATGCTACTAGGTAGTTCACCATCACGGTGCACACATTGATTCGATGATATTAGATAGTTGGAGGCAACCGGCAGGAAGCTCTGCTCGACCTAGGTTTCAGGCTGGTTTTTTTTTAATTTTTTTTTATTTTGATTACAGCTTGATGTCACACCGTATTTTCAGTACAAGTAGACCAAATTTTGCAGGGCGACCATAGATATCGGTTATGCGTCGGCAGGGGATCGAACCCTGGACTGTGTGCATGGTCGGCGAGAGTCTTAACCGCTGTGCCACCGACACACTTAACAGTCAGCAAGGCGCGTCTGCAACCACATTGAAGGAGCATCTCATGTCCCATCTGATAAGATTCGAACCCGCGTCACCCAGTGCCGCCTGCAGTCAGAGAGGTTACCACTGAGCTATGTTGCAAATATCGTTTTACTGATACGGCTATCACCATTCTCGTTGTTAACATTATTACTATCACAAGTACTGTTGTCCAAATTACTATCACTACGATTAGTCCCATTATGATGTCTACTGCATTTTGTATTAAAAATCTCACATTCTTTCAAATCTCTCATTCTTCGTGAAAACACAATAAACAATTATTGTTGTTGCTGAATTTTGCGTGAAGCAGTACTCACCTACCGCCAATGTTCAAGCCCAGGACCTTCTGGTTACAAGGCGAGGTAGCTCGTAGACCATTGAGTCATTGGGAGCCGATCCAATGACCAGTCAGCCCATGAATTCTAACTTCTGCCAATTCACGCACTACATAGCGCGACCATTTCGCAATGTCTTCTTCGATGAGTGAGTTACTGCCTCATCTTCAACCTGCTGTTCCCTAGGACGAAACAGCTGTCCAGTACTCCCTGGTTTTCAATGGTTCTCTAACTGATATTAATCCGTGATCAACTCGTAAACACAAAACTAACCCTTACAAACCAAACTATAGAAAAAATTAATCTGATACGCGCTAGTCACTGACTGGCTACAGGATGGAGTTTCCTGGAGTCAGTTCTAGTGAGAAGTCGTGACCAGTGAGGTCCATCAATCCAGATGTCACGTGTGAGAGTTGATGTATGTCCCACCGATGACCATCGATTGGTTGGTTCCAATCGTGGTAAATGCATCACGAATTGGTAGAAGTTAGAATTGATGCACTGGTTGGCCATTGGGGAATCGGGTGGGTCCCAGTGAGTGGCTGAATGGTATAGGAGCCAGCTAGCCAGCTTTCCTTGTAACCGGAAGGTCCTGTATTCGAATACTGGATATATGATTCAAAAATATTCTAAATTAAGCTGAGATCTGATTCGCTTCTGAATTTCTTCACTGTATTAGGCTAATAATAATTCTGTAAACTTGAAAACTATAAGGACACCAACTTCCGCAGGATGCCAACGACTCGTCTTATTTAACTAGTATGTGTTGTCACAACTGTTTTTACAATCTAATAGTATCAAAAGCATCTAGTTATTGCTGGAAACCATAGTTCACAAAAATTGGTAGCACAAACTCTAAGTTTGCCGAAGCAGTTTCTATCAAACGCTTGGAACTAGGTTAATGTGTTCAGAAAGAAGCAGTTATTAGTCTTTCCTTGCCCTGGTAACTGGATGTCTTTATTCTCTCATCTGATTACGTAATATTTGTCTTTAACCTCAACCCCCTTTTATAATCTGTAGTTTTTCTTGTCTCTTATTTCTATGATTTGAGTTCAAACCTCAGTACACTGTTACCTAATTTATTAGTCACACTGCACCTAATGCATCTCTTATCTTTATTACGTAACTCCTTTACCATTGTATACCTACATTTATTTTTTTGTTTAAACTTGAACTGCCTATGTAAAAACTATATAAGCGCAATTCTCTGAGCACTGTTCATGAATTGTGGAAATCTCTGTCAACTGACAACATGTAAAATTTGTGTGTTAAACTTTTCTGTACGTAAACCTCATAATTTATTTAGGCTGTGAGCAGCAGGTGAGCTGATGAGAAGCCAACGAAATCAAAAATGATGGCACCATCATCTTATTCTGCACAAACCACTGTCGTTGTTCTTGCTTTATTCAAATTCATTAAGGGGAATAAATGCATGAAGTAAACTCCATTCACCAGTTAAAGTGAAATAGAGAAATAATCAGAGTGGAAATTCATAGAAAACTGAGATAATCTAAAAACAAGGCAATAATACAATTTAATTGGTGGATGGTGACTAGCGCATTTCGTCCTATTTGGGACTCGTCAGCTAACTGGATTTATCCACATTGCCCAGTGAGTCAGTAATGATTTTCCCACCGAGGTTCGAACCCAGCGCACATAATTTCAAACATCAGCCAAAGCGTTATCCACTAGGCCGTTTGAGCCATGAGAGTTGGTCACCTCTTGTGCAGGTACACCCAGCCAACTGACGAATCCTAAATAGGACGAATTGCGCGTTATCCTTGACTGGATTCCACTACTGCTAGTCACCATCCACCAATTAAAAAAAATCCTAATTAAATGCCTGGACATCGTCGTTGAGGCATCTGCGGAAGAATCCGGCCGATAAACATGTCAGTACCTGAGATCGAGCACTTCGGTCCTCCAATCAATCAATCAATCGACTGCGGGAAAATTTAAAAATTCAATTTAACGTAGTAATAATAATTTGTAAAACTATGAAAATAACAACTCTAACAACTAATTCATTTGACCGATGAATACAACTCACTTGTTCGGATTCTGTTACCGGGGAATCTGGGAAATCAGCTAGATTGTAAACATGCACTGTACCTTGATCATCGCCAATTAAAACACTCTGAAAAGAAGAAAAAACAAAGGGGGTGAACAAATGAATTATTTTAGCTAATTTTGTGACTGAAATACCCTTAAATGGTGCTTACTGTGTAACTAGACTTTTGTAGAAAAATGTAAGTGAAGTCACAATGAATAAATAAATAAATAAATTTTACAAGAAAAGAATGTTATTCTTGTCGATAAATTCCTCCTCCTCTTCTTGTTCTACAATCATATCTATATATGCATATGTTTATATATACATAGAATATTCTAGATTCGTAGTGGTCAATAACAATATTAGTGTGCTTTTTAAATTATAATATCGATTTGTAAAGTAAGATCACAATGGAATCACCACCGTAGTTCATTAAAGATGCCTAAATTATAATAATAATAATAAGAAGAAGATATAGTAGGAAATAGAATATCAACTAAAATTAGGAAAATTCCACAAAAATTCACTTCAGGATTATTCAAACCTAGATGGATGGCCAAGCGGGTAAGGATAATGTCTGAACCAACTAACTTCTTTTGGATGCACAAATTAAGCTTGTTAATCTGGATCCCAACGGTCAGTCAAGCTCAGAAATTGAGACTTGTTGGTTGGTATGCGGTAGATGAATGAGCCTGAAAGCCGCCGCCTTGTTAACATCAATCAGTCTTGTGTTCTGTATCCACAAGAAGATGAGTGAGATAGATAGAATAGCGCTATGTGAATAGATTTTATTTGTTCTTTGCTTAACCAACCGACCACTGTGCGGGGTGAGGTGATGTTCGGAAATTCGACGAGAAACACGCCTAATTGTGTACGGCCTATGTAACTAGCTAATTAAAAGACTTGCAACAGTAAGAATAAGGCCTTCCTTTCTCGTAACTATCGGTGTACCTTAAGCTGCTTTAATTGTAGATTCATATTCTTATCAATAAACTTTTCTAGATAACCATTTTCACTCATCAACCGTTTAACATTGTTAAATTCCTCATGAAGACACTCATCTGAGCAGATTGCTCTTGCTCCGTGATTGTAGCACTTTACGGGATTGCGTTTGTATTTCAAGGGCATGAAGCTGAGAAAATGAGTATGCTGACAGTCAGTTGATGTAGGTTTTCTATATACACTTCTTGTTATAGCGCCATCCTCTTTTCTGGTCATAAGGACGTCTAAAAATGAAACACTAGAGTCTTTTACTTTCTTGATGGTAAAATTTATAGCAGGATGAACCTCGTTAAATTTATCCAGGATGTTGTTTGCTTCCGCCTCCGCATTTTTCATAATCAACAATGTATCATCCATGTACCGACAATAGAATTCAAGTTTATCAATAACATCCCATTATTTTCTAGTTTTGCAAAGAAAATGTCGGCTAGGATGACTGTCCTAGTGGTGACCCCATTGTCACAAGGAATCTTTAGATAACTGTGAAGGGCTTTTTACATGTGTTGACACACACAGCTTTTTTACTGCTTAGTATAAGTCCCATTCAAGCTTTTGAAGTTTCATTTGAGGTGATGTGTTATTTTTACTGGATGTTAGGGCTATTAGTTTCACTCACAACCTTCTCTCTTTCCTAGTGAACTAGGCGGGGTTTAAGAGTGTGTTGGCTGGGAATCGCTCCGTAGACCACCTGTGTGACTGATGAGCACTTTATCATAAATCAGGCGATGATAATATTAACAACTAGCTTACCTCTAGTCAAATGAATGATCGAAAAATAATTCTTACAGAGAAGAATGTTAATTCTACAACAATGAAAGTGAACAAGAACAAAGGCTGTAGAAATAACTACTTCGATCCACTGTAGATATGATAGAGAAGTTTTGTAGCTCAGGTGGATGGATGATTTTGATGTGGTTGTGTTCTCTGAGCTAGGTGGATAGTTAATTTGCGAAGCTCTCATCATTGTCATACTAGGTGACATCGTCAGCGCATACTTCAATTTAACTTGGAGTGAACTTTTCGATTTCTCCACGAGTTTATCAATCATCTCTCTTGGTGATCTTGGACGTGATTGGTTGTTTTTGTGTGTTTTCATGCCCCCTAGACGGCTACTTGTATTGGAACTGATTGTTTCTTTGACTATACTAGCAATAATCCGATTACTCACTCACAAAAGAAACTGTGTGCAGAAATTGTTTAAAAGAATTCAAACACACTGTAGCACTCCAGAATTGAAAAGAATGGAAGAAAAATGCCTACAAAAGGTCTTCAATCAGAATGGCTATTCACAAAATTTCATTAAAAAGTGTTTAAAATCGAATCAAAACACCAACAAGGAACCATCATCAAAGACCACAAGAAAATTTATCCTACCATACATGAAAAATATCTCTGAAATAACAGCTAGAATACTGAAACCGTTTGATAAAGATATGGCACACAAGCAAGTCAAACCACTTTATTCGATATTATACAAACCGAAAGACCCATCCAACAGAAAAAGGAGATAAAATTAATACCATTTACAAAAGAAATTGCATGTATGAACTGTAACAGACATTACATCGGCCAAAGTGGACGTCCCCTTAGAATTACAATCGAAGAACACAAATCAGCCGTGAAAAGGCAATATATATTCTTTAGTATCAATACATATAGACAATTATGGGCATCAGTTTGATAACTGGGATAATGTCGAAATCTTAGACAGAGGAAACACCACCAAAAGTGCAGTCAGGGAATTCCTAGAAGCCTGGTACTCAAAACACATATGCAATTAACAAACGATGTTAATATAGACCAAATCTACCAACTAATTAAAAGCAGATCATGTGACGAGAAAGTTTAAAATCCAAGTCAATAGAAAATGGTGAATACAGATGTAAAGATGGTTACTTGGAGACGCAGGAGATTCTATCTATCACTCATGAAGAAATTCGAATCATTTCACTTTATGCTAAATATTGTGCGGAAGGGGGATGTTGTCCAGCGGGGGGGGGGTGGACGACGAAAGCTCCGCAACTAAACTAACCAGTTGTTCAGAGAACACTATTAATTGCAAATCATCAACCTTAGCTACAAATCTTCTCGATTATTTATTTGGTTTAGCTGAATGCCTGAATTTTCAAGGTTAAACCTCACCGACAAATGAAGATAGTTTTTTGAAAACCCAGCTGCATCTCACTACTTTCTTTCATCTCGGTATTTAGTGTGTGTTCCTGTCAAATATTTTTACTCTTCTTTATTTTTTCAACAGCCAAAAAAATTTTTGTTTTATTTTGACAATTGATGATTCTGTCTAGTCACATCAGAGAATTAGTTGCTAGTCTCTGACTTCCCCCATTTACAATTTCGATACACACATACAACAAAATATGAGGCCTTTCTCCCAATGTTTATGCCTTCAATAAAGGCACAGCAACATGCATAGCAACAAACAAACGCACACACACACAAACACTCAGGGACATAAAAACTGGGACACAAAACACTTTCACGATGTGTTGTACATGTCAAATGCATAAATACATACACAGTAGACAGACAAACATATCTGAGAGAGTGAGAGATAAATTATTTCCAGACTGCGCACCACAATCACCACCATCACCGTCATAGTGGGTATTAGATATGATGTTGGACACTAGCGACTAGTAATAGCTAATGCATACACACACAGGTGGTTCGAACCCAGGACCTTCCGGTTACAAGGAAAGCTAGCTAGCTGGCTCCTATACCATTCAGCCACTCACTGGGACCCACCCGATTCCCCAATGGCCAACCAGTGCATGAATTCTAACTTCTACCAACTCGTGATGCATTTACCACGACTGGAACCAACCAATCGATGGTCATCGGTGGGACATACATCAACTCTCACACGTGACATCTGGATTGATGGACCTCACTGGTCACGACATCTCACTAGAACTGACTCCAGGAAACTTCATCCTGTAGCCAGTCCGTGACTAGCGCGTATCAGATTAATTTTTTCTATAGTTTGGTTTGTAAGGGTTAGTTTTGTGTTTACGAGTTGATCACGGATTAATATCAGTTAGAGAACCTACGACAATGGTTGGTCTCACGCTGAATCACGAATTGGTAGAAATTAGAATTCATGCCCTGGACAGTGAATCGGATCCCAGTGAGTAGCTGAATGGTATACGAGGGAGTTGGCTTGCCTTGTAACCGAAAGTCTCTGGTTTCGAACCGCCTGTGTGTTTGTAGGCATTTGTTAATACTAGTCGCTAGTGTCACCATGATGGTGATGATGATTGTGATACATCGTATGAAAGCAATTTCCCTCTCTCTCTCTCTTAGAATTGTTTGTCTGTCTACTAAGGAGGTATTTATACATTTGACATGTACAACACATCGTGAAAGTGTTTTGTGTCCCAGTTTTATGTCTCTGAGTGATCGTGTGTGTGTGTGGGGGGGTATGCTTGTTGCTATGCCTTTATTGATGGCATAAATATCAGGTGAAAGGCTCTATTTTTTATATCTATGTATGTGTCGGAATTATAAATGGGCGAATTCAGAGACTAACAATTAAATTTATGAGGTGTTTAGTCAGAATCATCAATTGTCAAAATAAAAATTATTCAAATGTTGGTTTGTAGGGATTTGATTGGTTTCAGGATTTCATCATGGGCTGGCATTAGTTAGAGAAACATTGGAAAACCTGGGAGTACTGGACAGCTGTTTCGTCCTAGTTTGGGACTCTTCAGCAGTACGCACCCACCGACGCTCACTGGTGACTGGCCCTATTCAGGTAGGTAGTTATCTGGGTTCCAGTGGGAAGTCGTGACCAGTAGGGTGCAGCTGGTCGGGTGTGAGGACAAATACTCGCCGAAGACATTGGCTAGCGGTCGCGCTATGTCGTGAATTGGCAGAAGTTAGAATTCAAGGACCATTGAGTCGCGTCCCAGTGGCTTAATGGTATACGAGCTCGCTTTGTAACCGGAAGGTTCTGGGTTCGAATCCCGGTGGGTGCATACTGCTGAAGAGTCCCAAACTAGGACGAAACAGCTGTCCAGTACTCCCAGGTTTTCCAATGGTTCTCTAATCGATGCCAGCTCATG